TTAATTGCCTTGGTTTCCTTTCTTTTCATTCATGAGGATACTTATTTCCATACTTCTCCATAACTAAACCCTGGAGGAGTTGTGACATTTGATGGCTATGAGCTGACTTCTTGTGACTGAATTTCTGCAACTCCTGAAATGACGAGGGCCTTCATAAGTACAGGTACACGGATTGAAGTGACTATTGATTTTCTGCATGAGGTAGAGCTTAAAGCACAGACCAAAGAATGGTTAGCTGGGTGGGGTCAGGGTTTTTCCAAGACAGCCAACAGAGTGGCGTGATGTGATTGACAGTGCTGCCTAAATTTATGTTGATTAAAAGGAGTACGTGAGGTGACAACCGGTTCTGGGAAAACCACCATGTACTCGAGTATTATGCGTGGAGCAATAGCAATAGATGGTGCTGTCCTATGCAGTGCTGTTTTTCATTCTCCTCCATCCATAACAGTAAGTTTTCTTACTAAGAGAGTCGACTTCTGTATACTATGGAAGGAGAAATCTCAAATCTCTGAACGTTAAGTATCTTTTCTATAAGGCCTTGGTGTTTTGGAGGTATTTAAGTCATGCTAGGATTGAAAAAAAAGTACCACATAAAGCTGAAAGATGGGAAATCCCACTATGAAACTGCACTAAGCAAGAGATTGTGAGTTTATCTTCATTGGTGATCTAGTCCTGAGCTGTTGGACCTGAAATACATTGGTGTTTCAACTCCTCCTGTGTTTCTTAGTGACCAAGGAGCAGCATTTTAAAGACCTCTCCTTCTCCCCAGTTTGAAGGTAGGCATGTGGATAGGTATAGTCCGATATGGGAGCCCCCAAGCTTGTTCCCAAACTGCCCAGCCCAGAATCATAGAATCGTTTAGGTTGGAAAAGACCTTTAAGATCATCAAGTCCAACCGTTAACATAATACTGCCAAGTCCACCACTAAACCATGTCCCTAAGCACCACATCTACATGTCTCTTAAATACCTCCAGGGTTGGTGACTCAACCACTTCCCTCGGCAGCCTGTTCCAATGCTTGACAACCCTTTTGGTGAAGAAATTTTTCCTCACGTCCAATCTAAACCTCCCCTGGTGCAACTTGAGGCCATTTCCTCTCATCCTTCGCTTGTTACTTGGGAGAAGAGACCAACACCCACCTC